AGTAAATAACCAGTTAGAAGACATTGACATATGAGAAGAGAGAAAGCAAGGAGTATTATTAATCTCCACTTTAACCTAACTAAATCTACTTTGAACAAATCACAGAAGTATCCTAATTAAAAAAAGATGGTCATTACTCAAAAAGTAAATTTCTGGATCCTCAAAAACAGACATAAATTTAAAAGTATGTTAACAAAAGAAATATAGTTCAACACCACATATACAGAAGAATGAGGTAATAAATGATTCCTAAAAGTAGGAAACAAATACTACAAACATACAAACCTCAAGAATACATGAATAATCCATTAAAGGCGATCACAACCATAAAAAAGAGAAGGAGAATAATTGCATTATCCAGATGATATTACTTAGATATAAAATACTCCAGGAACATGAGGTAGATAATGGAAATGATCGAAAGATGATAATCCAATCAAAACTTTTTTCGTCATAGAGCCATAGGAAAAAAAGTTCAACAACTACTCAAATAAAAGTGGAATAGAAAGTTCCATGAATGAAGAATTATAAGTCATAATTATTAAATGCAGACAATTAAAGTTATGGAGAAACTAAAAATTGTTCTCAATTAACGCAAACGTATTAAGTAATGAGTAATGCGAAAAAAGCCCGTAAAGGATTAAAGTATAATTGAGATATTAAAACAAGGGATTTCAAATGGTATGTAGAGAGAAGGTAATATTAGGCACAGTAACATTGTAAGCAAAAGATAGCTTAATAACAATTCAAAAAGTATAGGAATATGACTTTAAGAAACTTCTCTCACAGTATTATTCGAAGAATTTCTTTTAGGACAATTTTTTGAGCGCTGATGTTATGCAAATATTTATTATTGATAAATTGAGTTTTTTTGCAAATCAAAAATGGTATTAGATCCAATAAACAAAAGTAATATATCTTAAAAATGGTGAATATAAAGAATAATTTCTATTAAGAATGCGACCATTGAAACTTTGTGTCAGAAGAAAGACCACAAAAGAATATGAAAGTATTGTCAAATTGGACTAAAAATCCATCTAATGAGACTCAAACAAGCTTCTATTTGACGATATCAGATAGGTACATATATAATACAAAATTATCATCAAATATCTACACATAATACAAGTATGTGTTTATTTTGAACTATGTATAGTTGATGAAATAGATGTGTATCACAAGTTCAGTGAGAGTAAAACACATATTTATTTGGGTTTATATATGATTGAACGAGCAAATTGCTTGCACCAAAACAAGAATAATAACTTTATTGCATGACACCAAGAGTTATTATTCATATAAGAATTTTTGAATGAAAAGGATCAATTGGTGATTAGACTATCCTTTTGTATTAAGGAATCGAAATACTACACAGAGATAAGTTCTTGGGAGTGTAATCTGAGAAAGTTATCACAAGGAGCTATATCGAAAGTTACTTTAAACAGATTTGGCATGCAAATTGTAAAATTCAGAGTGAAACACCAAATACCGGTATGCTAAGGGAGACAAGTTTAGTCTCAGCCAATGCCCGAAAGAACAGTCTTGAAATTACAAGAATAGCAACAAGATTCCTTATGCAAAAAATCGGACTGTAGGGAAAAAGTTATTAATGTAAAATGCTCACAGGTAATGTAACGCGTATAACAGGTATTATAATGACGTATTATAGATTAGAAAGCATAAGTTAAGTTAGAAGTATAACACAGATAATTTAAATAATAAAACCTGAGCATAGGAAATCATTGAAAGCAAGAAATATTTCAAGACGTGTATATGACGAATATTTAACAAGAGAACAAAGGAAATAAAAATAGCTTCAACATATAAGGAATCGATAAGTTAAGAATTGGTCAAAATGGAAATAATTCCGACTAAAACCGATTTTGCATGAGATGCCAAGATAACAGTTATTGGAAATCACATCAGGAAACTATATTTAATAATCTGTTAGCATGAACACACGGAGAACAATTTAACTTGGAGAGAACTAGAACAAAAGCAAAAGACGCTCAAATTAATTTAAGCATTTCATCCACAATAAGGCCGCAAAGAATTTGTAGACATGTTATGAAAGACAATTTATCAAAACCAAAAGGGATAAAATAGGCTAGCGGATTATTGATAACCTAAAAGGTTAGAACGGTATTAATAAATGGAGAGCAACTTTAAAAGCAAAAGACCCACTTAATATAATATGATGTAATAAAATAAGATCTTAGACAGTTTTATATATTCCAATAACAACAGGAGCTCAACAAAATCAAAGCATATTGATATCAAGTTCTAGTTGTAAAAAAGAAGAGTGCAGAGTGGAACAGATTTCCAATAGAGCACATATGGGAAGGAAACAACTCTCACATTAGTATAGTTGGAATACCATTTACGTGTAAAAGGGACTACCACCATCAGGTCCTATTCATGAAGAACACAAACTGCTACAGATTGGGATGGTTTGTTAACTAATTTGAGAAACAATTTCTGAGAATATATAGATGGAGTATTTAGTATTTATAATAATAAAAATAACTGCTTAAAAAATTAATAAAAAAAATAATATTTAAATAAAAAAAAAAAAAAAAAAAAAAAATTTATAAAATAATATAATAATAAAAAAAAAAAAATAAAAAAAAAATAAATATGTCAGACACTATTAGAGTATTATAATACTATTAGTAAATTAATTGAATTAAAATTTCTGCAAAAAAGAAAATGAAATATTTCAGTATATATATACGCTCAATTGAATATAACGTATTGAAATGAAGTATTTTATGAATAAATTAGAATACAATAAGAATTAAGTAGGAATATCCAAGTTGGAAATAGAAAACATAGAATAATTAGGATAAAATCACATCACATAGTAAATTTCCATAACACAAATACATCACATAAGATGATCTATAGTCATTATTTAGCTGCATTAAGTAAAATAAACGTGACCTATTGGATGGGTCGAGTTTAACGAATTGATTGTAAAACGAAAAAGAACCGTCAAATTAGATCGCTATAATTAAATATAGTATTAATAAAGGATCACTAAAGATATAGTTTGGAAAAACCACTCAAAGTAATAATGAAAAATAACAAAGATTTACTAGTGAAGCATCACAAAGTTTAAAACAAACATTTTCACGGAATACAATGAATAAGAGGTTCCATAGTGGGAGATTGTAATAGAAATAATGTCTCAATGGGAAACCACATTAAATAAATCGTGGTGTAAATACAAATTTTATAAGAGCCTACAATTTAAGTGATTCAATTTAGTTTAATAGGCTAAGGCAAATGATGTTATGAACCTAATGTAGATAGATACTAGTTGTAATAATTTCTATTTCTATGAGGCAGAAATAAAATTAAAACATATTGGTTAAAAGTTGTTTTCATTCCTTTGAACTTCCACAACCTTTCAGTTTGAAACCAAATAAATAGAAATTAAAACCAATATTATAGGTTAAAGTTGCTTTCAATTCCTTATGGAAACTTCCACACACCTTCAGTTTTGAAAACCAATTACAACCTTTAAAAAAGGTTATGATCCTATTTACCTTATCCACAAAGAAGGTGAAAAATAATAACTGACAATTTTTATAAAAACACTCTCATAGGAGATATACATAAGGCACATCAAACGTGGAAAAGGATATAGAAGCGAATAACATAAATCAATACATATGAAAGTTCATTGATAATCACAAGCTAATCCGTTTTAACACACACGTAATCATATAAAACAATATGGAAATTCAGGATATATCATTAAATTGGTCTTGAAAATTAAATTCTTGATAATACACATGGTAAATTGTACCAAGTAGTAGGTTTTTATGTTCTGAAATTTATGTTGACAATTAGTTCAACAATAGTAATATGTCTTTTTCATAATAGTGACATACTGTTCTAGAATTTAAACAACCATAAGAAAACTAGTTTCACCGTAACTATTTAGACCATTACAAATTAAAACTAAAAACTAACAAACAAAAACAATAAAAGAAGATACTATGTGGGTTTATGTTTGGGTTTAGATTTTATATGGAATAAGAGAAGATACTATATGGGAAGGTGTATAATACAAATATAGGCTATTTCTATACGGTCTGGATCGGTTCCAATTCGAAATCGTGGGGTTCAATTTGAAACTGATACGTGGACTACGAATTTTTAATTTTTCAATTCAGAATCGAATCACACATTCAAAAAACAAATCCAAACCTACCAAATTAGACTAAACTGAATCAAATTACGAATTTCATGGATTCCTTACTCAACTCTAATGACATATATAATACTCTACTAATTTCATTGGTAAGCTCATGACATTATCCATTTGCTTCCCACAAAAAGCATGCCAAGCGTGCCCATTCAATAATTCTATGAACTAAAAAATAAAAATAAAAACATTTGAAAGATTTAGGGATTGTTTGGGATGTCCTAAATAAGTACATTTTTTGACTTTTTAAACTAAAAAGTTAAAGAAAAAAATATGGTTGTTTGGGTTAGATTTTTGACTTTTTATGAAAAAATGTGTATTAAAAAATTGTATAAATTAGTGCGTAAGGGAAAATTAGGATTGAGAGTTGTGCAACCGTAATAATTTTTTAACTTTTTTAGTAACTTTTTGACTTTTTAACTTTTTTTAACTTGCCAAACTTGACCTTACTAAAAAAACAAATTCATTTTTAACGTAACCCACACCTTATCACATTTGAATATTTGCCACAAACTTTTTTGGTTCATTTTGTAACTACTTTTTTTTTGTTTTTTGTTTTTTTTGCACAACTTTTTCTGATGATTTGTTTGGCTTGGATATTGATCACAATAATTGATATTTAAGTCATTTTCGTAAGGCCCTCTTTACCACTCAAATAATTCATTTCAAATTATACACCATAGTTTTAAATTTATTTATTTAAAAAAAAAAAATTCAAATTATACACCATAGTTTTAAATTTATTTATTTTAAAAAAAAAAAAAAAACAGAGTAGTACTTCTATATAAGGGGTCAAGAGCTACGGATTTTCTTCAAACCGTGCCTCCTATTTTGTTCCGAGATTTAAACTAGTGTTTGGTGTGTGATTTAAGATCATTGTTAGGCAAAATATATGGCTCTTGCTGGTAAGATGGAGACCGAGGTAGAGATAAAATCTGATGGGGATGAGATTTTGCACATGTTTGGAGGGAAAAAAGCACATCATGTACCAAACATGGTCTCTCACCACATACAAAATGTAGACTTACATGAAGGTGAATGGGGTGATCATGGATCTGTCAAGACCTGGACTTGTGTTGTTGGTAAGGCGTGGTATTTTAATTACATTATTTCCTACTGATTTCAAATAATACTTTGATTATGGTTTTTACATTTTAGATGTATGTTTTAATATTAATATATATATATATATATATGAGTGTGTGTTTGATTTCGATTTAATAATACTACTCAAATAAAGTTTGGATTCACCTTCTCTCTAGTTGGAGATGGACTTGACTAGTCTAATCTAGTTGAGTTCAAATGGACTTACCAGTGTCTATTTGGGTGATTTAATTCATTTAGTTATTAGGTTTGTATATGATAATGGAAAGTTCACTTTTTAAGTTATGTCTGCCATCAAATTTATGTGTGTGAGAGAGAGAGATAAGACAAATTTCACTTTATTCTTTGAAGTTTACTTTTTTATTATTTAAAAATAATCACATAATTCTTTTACTATTTATGGATGAAAATGCATTGGTAGACATTCCGTCTAAGTTAATAGTAAATATGTAAAACACGCACCAAAACGTAAGGGGTTAGTCAGATGGATAAATTGAATATGAATTAAAACACAGTTGGTTAAAGTGAATTTTGCCTTCCAAAAAATACTGAACATATATGTCGGTGATTTGCATATTGAGGTTACTTATATGATCTCAAAAATTGCATATGGAAGAAAACATAAGTCTTCATTCCCAAATGACTGTGACTTAAAAGTATAAATAAGTTAAACTAGAAGGGGATAGAGTAAAATTTGTCCAATGTGATAAAATCATGTTAAAAATAATAAGATTAATCTTACTTCTTTATATATATACATATATATATATATATATATATTGCACATGAAATCCTAAAAAATGAATCGGATCATAAAAATGAAATCATCCAAGTGACCTTCTAGTGGGAATAAGACCAAGAACATGGAAATTGGTCACAAAATAAATATGGAAGGACAAAATATTTCATAAATAGATTCCATCAACTAATTCTATAAATCTTATCAATACATATCTATTCTCTGTTTAATTTTGCATTTGATTTCTACAATTTTATATTTGATTTCTACGTAAGTGTTTGGTGTAGAGAAGTCAATTTTTTAATATGTAGGCATTATTTATGGTTGACTTTTCTCAATTTATGCTTGCTTGTGTTGATACAAATAGAGGGGAAGGTCGAGACATACAAAGAGAGGGTTTCCATAGATGAAGAGAACAAAACAGTCCATTTGATAGCATTGGAGGGAACAGATTGGTTGGACTTCTATAAGAGTTATAACCTCATCTTTCAGATCATTCCCAAGGGAGAGACCAAAGTGGTGAAAATTACAATAGAGTATGAGAAACGAAATAAGGATGTCCCTGATCCACAGAAATATCTGAACTACTTGATTAATCTCTTTAAAGATGTTGATTCTAAGCTTGTCCAAGCTTAATGCAATGGCTACATATATGAATAATGGTTATTGTATGATACTATGATCCTAGTTTGTAATAAGAGCTGGGGAGCTCTAGTGTTGATGATTCCTAGTTTCATGCTTGTGTGAGTATGTTTGTACCATAATTAAAATAATAGAACTTATTATTCTTATGAGTTGTTTCTTAAGTTAAAATAATACCTATGACTACATTGTATCCCTCTTCTACATAAATCATTTAAGAGCAGATATAACAAATATTATATAAGAGTAGATGCTTTATTAGTAGAAGTACGAGCAGCTTCGAAGAAGGTAGGAGTAGAGGTAATGTATACATACTATCTTTTTATTTATTTGTTTATTTCCTTTATACTTGACAAATTTGAAAATCCTTTTTCGTTGAGGTAACCAAATTTGAAAATGCTTTATTATTTGAAGTCTGATATTAATTGATTTGAATTTAAATCTGAAAAGATTTCTCAATTTTTTCTGACGTGTATTATAAAAATGTAAATCAAAGGTAAACGCAGCGGATGAAAAGTTTTTATATATATATATATATATGAGTGTGTGTTTGATTTCGATTTAATAATACTACTCAAATAAAGTTTGGATTCACCTTCTCTCTAGTTGGAGATGGACTTGACTAGTCTAATCTAGTTGAGTTCAAATGGACTTACCAGTGTCTATTTCGGTGATTTAATTCATTTAGTTATTAGGTTTGTATATGATAATTGGAAAGTTGATTTTTAAGTTATGTCTGCCATCAAATTTTGTGTGTGAGAGAGAGAGAGATCAGACAAATTTCACTTTATTCTTTGTAGTTTACTTTTTTATTATTTGAAAATAATCACATAATTCTTTTATGATTTATAGATTAAAATGCATTGGTAGACATTCCGTCTAAGTTAATAGTAAATATGTAAAACACGCACCAAAACATAAGGGGTTAGCCAGGTGGATAAATTGAATATGAATTAAAACACAGTTGGTTAAAATGAATTTTGCCTTGCAAAAAATACTGAACATATATGTCTGTGATTTGCATATTGAGGTTACTTATATGATCTTAAAAATTGCATATGGAAGAAAACATAAGTCTTCATTCCCAAATGACTGTGACTTAAAAATATATATAAGTTAAACTAGAAGGGGATAGAGTAAAATTTGTCCAATGTGATAAAATCATGTTAAAAATAATAAGATTAATCTTACTTCTTTATATATATACATATATATATATATATATATTGCACATGAAATCCTAAAAAATGAATCGGATCATAAAAATGAAATCATCCAAGTGACCTTCTAGTGGGAATAAGACCAAGAACATGGAAATTGGTCACAAAATAAATATGGAAGGACAAAATATTTCGTAAATAGATTCCATCAATTAATTCTATAAATCTTATCAATACATATCTATTCTCTGTTTAATTTTGTATTTGATTTCTACAATTTTATATTTGATTACTACGTAAGTGTTTGGCGTAGAGAAGTCAATTTTTTAATATGTAGGCATTATTTATGGTTGACTTTTCTCAATTTATTCTTGCTTGCTTGTGTTGATACAAATAGAGGGGAAGGTCGAGACATACAAAGAGAGGGTTTCCATAGATGAAGAGAACAAAGCAGTCCATTTGACAGCATTGGAGGGAACAGATTGCTTGGAGTTCTATAAGAGTTATAACCTCATCTTTCAGATCATTCCCAAGGGAGAGACCAAAGTGGTGAAAATTACAATAGAGTATGAGAAACGAAATAAGGATGTCCCTGATCCACAGAAATATCTGAATTACTTGATTAATCTCTTTAAAGATGTTGATTCTAAGCTTGTCCAAGCTTAATGCAATGGCTACATATATGAATAATGGTTATTGTATGACACTATGATCCTAGTTTGTAATAAGAGCTGGGGAGCTCTAGTGTTGATGATTCCTAGTTTCATGCTTGTGTGAGTATGTTTGTACCATAATTAAAATAATAGAACTTATTATTCTTATGAGTTGTTTCTTAAGTAAAAATAATACCTATGACTACATTGTATCCCTCTTCTACATAAATCATTTAAGAGCAGATATAACAAATATTATATAAGAGTAGATGCTTTATTAGTAGAAGTACGAGCAGCTTCGAAGAAGGTAGGAGTAGAGGTAATGTATACATACTTTCTTTTTATTTATTTGTTTATTTCCTTTATACTTGACAAATTTGAAAATCCTTTTTGTTGAGGTAACCAAATTTGAAAATGCTTTATTATTTGAAGTCTGATATTAATTGATTTGAATTTAAATCTGAAAAGATTTCTCAATTTTTTCTGACGTGTATTATAAAAATGTAAATCAAAGGTAAACGCAGCGGATGAAAAGTTTTTATAGCCATACCTTTTCAGCAGAGTCTGAAGTGAAGGATCTCGTGAGTAAATCACATGCTTCCAGAATTTGATCAACCAACCTAGCAATGGAGTGATATTACAGAATGAATATCACCCACACAAGTCACAGTGCAAAATGACTTTTGATCGTTGTATTTTGAGAGAGAGTGAAAAACATACGACATACGTTGTTTTTCTCTTAATCACCCATATCCCATATTATATCAGATATGTTGGATAATAATAAATCTATCCATATCAGTTATATCAGATATATAAGACATCTATATCATCTACCCATATCAGTTGATATGATAGATATAGATATCCTGAGTGGTTATCCAAATAGGTTTTGAATTCAAATTCAAACTTATTTGGATAAGGTTCAAAAGGTTCAAAGAAGGGTCAAGCTACATGGGCGCCCCATTTCTAACATCTCCCACTCGCACATGAGTTGGCATGACACTGCCACATCTCTATCTCAATCTCCCAAAAAATGAACAATCTCATTCTAGCCAATGCACCGTGCAACTGCTGAGAACACTTGCATGAGGGAGCTCTATACTAGAAACTCAAAATGAGCCTGCATAGAGACATCAACCCAAAAAGAACAGAAATAGTGTCTCATATACCCCAGACCCATCTAATTACACCAGTCCAAAAAACATCTGTAATACTAGATGATCTTCCCTTTGCCTTCATGCCATTTAGTTTACGATTGACCGTTTTTCCAGTGATGTCCCTTAAGGCCGAATCATACATGACCGCAGGCAACATACCAAAGTAGCAGAACATCAACCACTTATCTTATGACATAATCAAAAGTCACAAAAGGGTACATAAATGAAAGTCATATCAATAATGACATGTAAGACTCACACGGTGATGAAATAGGGATCCATTCTCTCACCTCATTACTCGGTCGCCAAGCACATATAATATGAATACAGGTTACGGTGGAGTAACTCTTCCAAAAGAGTGACGTCATACTCAATACATCGTACAAATCTTAGTCTAGTCGCTTTTTAGCGCCTAACCCGAATTCTCTATTTGCTTGCCTTCTAAGCGCCAAATGAGATCTCGCATCTGGCTAATCATAACAGGCACAACATGGAAAGTGGGTAATAACGTCCATGTTTGGTCCTTAACACGACCTCATCTTGGTTGTAACCAAGGCAACATACATAGTGGATAATTTTAAGCCTCTCTTGGCTCCAAATAAAAATAAACCACTAGTCCCATTCTTACTCGCTCCCAAGCGCCAAGGGCGATTGCTCGTGTGAGTGAGCCAATCTTGCCTACTGACATTATCATCTGCTAATCATTATGACATAAACCATAATAGTGTCAACATCCCATCATCTCAAAATAAGTGATCGATTTAAAAAAAAAAATTGACCACAGCTTGCGCAATTCTAGATTCCAAACATAAGCCTTATCAGCACCTCTTGCGACAAATATATACAACGGAATCCACCATGTGTGCCTCATATGAAGTGATTCAAGATCACAATTCCAGATTCCAAACATAAGCCTTATCAGCACCTCTTGCGATAAGTATATACAACAGAATACACCATGTGCGCCTGTAGACACGCCTGTGGGCCCCATGCTACAGTTTGGACTCAAATTGTCACGGTTCTTAATCTGAACCAAAGAGTCCAAATTCGGCAAATCGTTTTGAGAAAACAGATTTTTAGAAAAGAAGTGCCAAACATGGACTACTTTTCTAGATACAGAGTCGCCACCTAAATATTCTATTTTGGGAGAATTTAGGAAACCCTAACTCGGTGCCAAAGGCCATGTGTCCGTCATCAGCAAAGTTGCCTCGGCTCGGAAACTTGGGTACGATTGGGGAAGGTCAGCTATGAGCACCCCCGCTCGCCCGAACAAAGATCGGCCTCTACTAACCACGATATCTTGTTTTGAAAACATTATATGCTCTTATTCTAGTTATTAGCCTAGAATTACTATGTTATGCGCACAGCAAACAAGTATAGGCCAAATCGCCAAAATTGGAACAAAACATTTCATGTTTGTTTTGAAAATGGTTTGCTAATCGCAAGTAGGCTAAAATGCAAATTTTCCCACCCTCAAGTGGGCTTTAGAAAAAATAGTTTTGCCACTATCTAGTGGGCTTAAAACTCGCAGTTTTAGTGCATTATTCCAATTTAGGTAATTCAACCTCCACCCACAGGCATTCATGCAGTTATATCACATAAGCATATAGCCACATGGTAAGTATGCTGTCATGGCAACACTCACACACATGCAAGGATGCTAAAGCATGAGAACTTACCGAGTACTCCGAGCCAAAATAGAAACTAGTTAGTAATCATATGTATGATCCTAGTTCATGTTAAGATGTCTAATGCAACACATGAAAAATACAACTAAGATGGACTCGGCTAATCTACAATGACATGTGAAATGCTACAACTAACACATATTCAATTTGGAATTGGAATACAAATGCAGTTAGAATGATGCGCCGAGCCCAGTGCATGCAAAACGAATGAATGGATGCAAACGTGCTATCATACTGTATGCTAATTGAAGCATGCTCTAGACTAACCATCAAAAGCTAGTAAATAAAAGGGAAGAAAGACGTGGGGTTGGGAGACATTCACAAGGGAGCATGGCCCTCGACCCTCGGGCCATCAATCACGCATTTCAATGCATGATGGCCCAAAAACCATGTGTGCAACTTCGATATCAAATGAAATGCAAGCACAAAACACATCAAAGGACCCGAACCCTTATCATGATTGATCAAGAGGCAAGAGATACATGCTCAATGAAATGCAACCTAGGCATGGAGGCTAAGTGTGCAACATGAACATGCAAATGAGCAATGTATACTAGGTACGCAACCTAAACATGTAAACAAACATGGCATACAACAACATGCGATGATGGACTTAAACTAACTTTGATAGCTCGCAAGCATGCCAGAATCAGTGGCCATGTGATGAAAATGAGGCAACCAAGATGCATGCAAACATGCACAATGCAATGGCTCCGAGTCTAAGGCACAAAACACAACTCCACAAAGGCATTGAAAGGATGAATTATGGCATACAATGGCATATGTTCCAGCACTGAAGTATGATGCTCAATGGTCGCGAAACATGCAAATATGCCACCCAATGCATGAAATAGCCCCCGAAACTCAAAACTAGGCACATGTATTGAACTATAACTATGCAAAGCAAGCATTATTTGACTATGAAGCATGAAGATAGAGCCAAAGCAGTCCCAAAATATGCACAATACTAGTTTAAAGCATGGCCAAAAAGTGCTAACATGTAGGGCTAAAACAATATGCCAGATTGGCTAGTAAGCATGGTTTATACCACACCTATATGAAGCATATGAAATCTCACCAAACTAGCCAAAAACAGTGAACAAAATATGTCAAAATATGCCCAAATACCCACTAAAATGAGGTCTACACATGCAAGCACGATGAGCTCCTTTGATAAGCTACAAGAGGGGTTACTCTACACATGCATCAAGGATACTTAGCATAGAAAAACCAACTTTGAAAATGAGTTATGGGGGTCCTAAAACCTACTGAAAAATGATAGAAACAAAGCTTGGAAGCTTGCAAATAGGGGGTCCTTTGGAAGGCCCAAAATGCCACCAAACAAGACAAGGAGAGAGGGGGTCACCCCCCTCTGATTTTAAGGCTCAAGAATACACCTAAGACACTAAAAATCCACTGGATTTCAGTGGCTAAGAGGCCAAACCAAGGCCAATGCAAATGCTCTAATGCATAGCCCTAATCATGTGGAAATGAAGCATGCAAAGGGGAAGATAACCCCAAACAGAAAAATGCCCATAATCAAACATCAAGAGGGGCTCAAAATAAGACTTTTTTTAGTTCATGAAAAATCTCAAAAAAGCTTGCAAGTAAGGCTAAGATAGGATGCAAAATTAGCCCTAAAAGAAAGATGGAAGGTACGAGGAGGTAGATGACCTCAAACAGAAAAGTGTCCTGAATCAAACTTCAAGAGGAGCTCAAAATAAGACACTTTACAGTTTATGTCGGAGCCCAAAAATGCTTGCGAATAAGGCTAAAGAATGAAACAAGATAAGGCTACAAAGAGGGAGATAGTGACTTACCCTTGTAGCACAACAATGCAGCATCTTCTAGACCAAGATGGTGAGTTCTCAACCTCTGAAAATCACCTTCAAGGCACTTGAATGGATGGTGGAGGTGGTAGGCTATGAGGTGTAGTGCAATGGGCCAAGAATAAGACCCTTTTGAACCCTCTAACACACCCAAATGTAGAGAGAGAGGGAGATATAGAGAGAGAGAGGTTGATATATATCATATATCAGATGTAAGGTCTTTTTTTTTGCTAAACCAAAACAAAGGAGGAGGAGGGTCTCCTTATATAGACAAGGGAATGGCTCCAAGCTTCTTAAAGAAGCTAATAAAAGAAGGGTCAAAGGGGCCAAGCTTCCAAGAGAAGCTAACCCAAAGGTTCAAGCTTCCTGAGGAAGCTAAGACAAAGGGTCAAGCTTCCTCAAGAAGCTTGAGCAAAGGGTGCAATCTTCTAGAGGAAGTTTGGATCAAAAAGGGTGGAAAGGGGCCAAAATAGCCACATACGCGTATAGGGGCAGGGACTGTGCACCCCAGCTGGCATAGCTGGCATGCACCATGCCTACAAGAGTCAAAAA